TACTTTGGATTTTGGCCTGAAATCATTCTTGTGATTCCTAGTTCTGGCATTTTCTCAGCATATCACTTCAGTAAGTCCTGTTACTTTATACCCGAAGGGTCTACTCAAAACAGAGCATAAATACAGATTCTAATATTCATCCCCCCCAAAAAAATCAAAAGCAAACACGCAAATGTTGCTATTGTACAATATTCCCCTAGGTCATTTTCCAAAGCTTTAAACCATTCTTTTTTTTTCTGTTTCTCTTTGACAAATACTGTAAGACTCTGAGTTTTTAAATAAACTTCTTTTTAGTATTTCCCATTCTACATTTACATTGAATAGTACATTAAAGTCTTCCAACTGAATACCAAATGAGTCAAATGGTTATGGGTAAAGGAGTAGGGTATTCTGGATGGGGAAAGCAGTTTGCCATGTGGTTCTTTACTCTAAATTAATCTTCTTAATTTCAGGGCAACTTCAATAGGACCTAAACTCTGTTGTTACATGATAAAAAGAAGGAAGGAGGAAAGGAGGAAAAGAGGAAAGGAGGGAGGGAGGAAGGAAGGAAGAAAGGGAGGAAGGAAGGAAGGAAAGGGAGGAAGAGAGGAAAGGGGAAAGAGTAGGATAGGCTTATAAGTGTAAGTCTGGCTTCCACAAAGATCTATTTTACAAAGAAAACTGAAATATGGAAACCAAAGCATTTGCACATTGGATACTCTAAATCCCAAGGGATAAAGGAGAATTGTCTCCACTAGTCCTCAGAACATGGTTTGGCTTAGCTCTGAGTACTAGGGCAAAGGTAGTATACTTTTGTACCCAAGGCTTTGGGATCACATGGAATTAATACCCTGAATAAAAAATCAATAGCCTCCAGGGTGTCAGAAGCTGTGGTGTCAGCAATGATAGACATTGTTTAAATGCCTCACGTACAACAGATAAAACACAGATCGGAAGCAACCAAGACATCCTTCAGTAGGTGAATGGACAAGTAAATCAATGATTCATCTAGACAATGGAATATTATTCAGTGCTAAGAAGAAATGACACTGTATGACACCAACAGGGTACCCTAAGGTAAACTATGGACTTTGGATGATTATATTGCTTCCATATAGGTTTGTCTGGTGAGTGGTGTTGACAATTGGGAAAATTAAACAGGTGTGGGAGTAGGGGAAATGTGGCAAATCTCTATACCTTCCTCTCAACTTTTTTGTAGACCTAAAACTGCTCTAAAAAATATAAAATCTGAAACAAGTGGGTTGCAGATGGATGAGTAAAATAACTTATAGGAATATGTGAGATACCCCTTGGGACTTCCAAAAATAAATGGACAAAAATCAAGAGAGAAGATTGGTTCTACTATACAATTAGGGAAGAAATTGATGAAATTCAAATTATTATTATTATTGTAATACTCTTTGTACCCATAAGCAGGCAGACTTAAAGAAATTCAGGTCATACATTTTTACAGAACAATAAAGATGGACACTATAATTAAAATATATTTCATGACTACTATATGAGAGAACCTCAGGAATTTTGACATATTTGATCCTGAGAAGAATGCTCTGAGGTGTGTATTATCATCTCCATGATTCCAGAGAAAAAAAAAGAGACACAGACATTTTAAGTGCTTGGTCTTGGTTGTACAGATAGTGAATAGCAGAGTGAGGTTGGAACATAGGCTATCTTAACTCAAAGTAGCCACTGTTTTTCATAAGATATGAAGGCTCAGCTGTTACTTAGTTACATTTCAAAGTGGAGTCCAAGGAAATGAAATCATCATTCCCCAAAACAGTAGGGAAGAAAACATTCTCAACTTTTCTCAAGCCCCCAAATTAAGTTTACCAGATACAGCAAGTAAAAATACAGACGCTCAATTAAATTTGAATTTCAGATGAGGAGTGGATATTTTTTAGTATAAATATATTCCAAATATGTTAAACTAAATATTTGCTCTTTATCTCAAATGTAACTTTAACTCGGTGTCCTGTATTTTATCTGACCAACCATACTTAATACTAAATTGTGGTACTCCCAGTTTTAATTTGTATTAAACATATTAAAAATAAAGAAAATTGAGAGTCAACATTCTAGTCTATATGATGATTTCTTCAAAGCATCAGCACATGGCTATGTGCTCTATGTTGTTTTCACTGAAGCAGCCAGAAAATATGCTCAGAATTTTCTCTGAATTGTTGAGTAGATTTGCAAATCAATAAATACAGGGGAAAAAAGCCTTTAGAGAAGTTTTAGTTATCCTGTGCACCTCGATGTAAACTATTCTGGGGATTCTCTAGCATGTGATTCACTCTGAAAACAAAACAAGAGAAATAATCGGTGTTTACTGAGACTAGTGTTTGTCAACCCAAACCTGGCTACCATCACTATTTTATCCCACACTGAAGCCCTGTTCCTACTTAACATGCTGGACAAAAGATGAAATCTTCATATCTAACAGATACTATAGCAACAGGGAAACTCTGTGCTTTCAGAATGTAAAATTACTAAGCTTTACATGTAATTAAGAAACTGGAGTTCACATCAACTTCCTAACATTTAAGAATGTCTGATGTACTCAAAATCCTATAATCTGATGTGGTCACCCATTTTACCTTTATTTTCCTGGGGTCTTGGGGTCTGAATACACTTAAAGAAGAGTGGAATCATTCCAGAACCATAGCCACTTCTGTGAGGGGTGTGAATTCCCTGGGTGGGTGACAGTGTAAGTAAACTACATTCCTAACTTGGCCCTCCCCTTCACTTGCTTTATGATCATGTGCAAATTCTGTAGCTTCTCTGTACACAGTGTGGGTGCTGAGAGCTTGAGTCTTGGGACCAGACACTCTGGTGTTAAATCTGGCTGTGCCTATGGCATGTATGTGTGACAGAAGCAAATCACTATGGTTTCAACTCCCTAAGGGTTGTTGGGAGGATTAAAAGAACACTTAGAAGAGCCACAGGCACATAGTAATTCTCAATAATGCTATTTATTTATTTTCTTAGCAAAAATAGTCTTATTGAATATAATATAGTACAAAGATAAGCGCCAATAATTAGCCTCGTGCCTTGTGATAGCATATGAAACAATTTTGGATCTCCGTTTCCTTCATAGTAAGATGAGGAAATTTGAAAAAATGATCCTTGAATAATGATATGTAAAGTAATCTATGATACTTAATTCCAATTACTATTGACCATTAGAAGGCATCTTTGGAAGATGTTTCAGATGGCAAAAAAACAAAAACAAAAACAAAATTTAGCACTTTGGGGAATGGAGTAAAGGCCCTAAAGCTAAATTTTTCCATTCGCTGAGTATGTTTCAGCCCAGGTTCCTTGGTCTGTAATCATTTTCCAACATATCAGCATCTCTGAGAGCCCAAATAGATGTAGAGATTATCTATCAAAATCCTGGAACTTGTAAGAAGAAAAAACAAAAGCTCCAGGAGGCACAATGTTTTGCTCACATTCAGTAAGCAAGTTGGTGACTGTGGTAACTGCTCCCCCATAATGGGCCCCCAGTGATCCTACCTCCTGGGATTCATACCCTTACATTCCTCCTGTTGTGTGGACTTGACTTAGCAATTTGCTTTGAATGAATATAACACATAGAAGTGAAGGTACGTGACACAGAAATGTAGGTCAGAAAAGTCAGTTCTCTCTGTCTTCCCCAACTCCCCACCATGCTCATTCAATCTGCTAGAAGCCAGCTTCCAAGTCATGATCACCCCAAAAGAAAGGCTCAATGGCAAGAAAATAAAGCTTTCTGCCCACAGCCGTGTAAGAGTTTGGAGAAAGACCTTCTACCCCCAGTCAAGACTTAGGATGAACTGCGCCCTGAACAATAGTTTGACCACTTCATGAGACATTCTGAGTTGGCACCATCCAGCTAAGCTGCTTCCAGATCCTTGACCCCAGGAACTGTGTGAGAAAATATTTTTGTTGTTTTAAGCTGGTAATATTTAGGTAAATTGTTATCCATTAATAGATAAGCATTGCAGAGACAGAACTATTACCAGAGCATAATGTTCTTATTGAGAAGATAGCAATTTCTCTGAGTGAAGTGTGGAGTAACCATTATTCATTCCTAAGTTTTCACAACAGGCCCAAGCAATAATGTGAAGTTGAAATTATCAGTTTACATAGTAATTAGTTCAAATTAGTTCAAAGTTGAAATTGTTATTTCAAGTTAAGCTCATTCAGCTCTAAAGAACTGAAAGCACTGAGAACACTCCTTATTTACCAACCATCCCTGGCCACAGTTGACATTTCTGGCTATTTACTCAGGCTCAGCCTAATCACAGCAAACCTCAAATCCACTTCTATTTAGGGTGGATAAGCTTTTCTTAGAAATCTTGCAGGTGATGACAACTCCTGTATACACAGGTGGATTGGATACTTTATATTGTGACAACAAAACCCAGATCAGAGGACTTAAAATAGATTATATTTTCAGACACATAACTATTTATATGGCAATCTTTTCAGGTATACCGGCATTTTAGTCCTGCTTTTACACTGTGAGAAAATATAGTAAACAGTCACTCCCAGGTTATTCAAAATATATAAGGCTTCAGCAAGCACAAAAATGGAGGTAAGGAGGAATCCATGCTGAGTCCAAATGACATTAGGTCATAACAGGTGAACGGATGGATAACACCCCCTAAAAGTTGATTTTCAGGAGGTCTGAGAGACTTCAAGCTACATTCAAAGCTCACCATGAGTTCCTAGATGGAGCAAAAAGACTGAATACAAATGCATTTGGAAAATGAGTGAGCTAGCTTCTGGAAGAAAGCTCCCCAGAGGAAGAAGATCAAAGCCAAAGGAGTTAGATGCAGTACAAATGCCATGGTTCTAAAGGGAAAGGTGCAATTTTGACTGTAACATGGAATCTTCATTCATATTATCTCCCAGACATCCTCAACTTCAATTCATTTTTGGACCCCATAGATAATGGGGGGTGGGGCAGGGACCTAAATAAAACATGAAACAACTGTTTCATTAAAAACTCTAGGGCAGGTTCCACAGTGTAGTGGTTATCATGTCTGCTTTACACGCAGAAAGTCCTGGGTTTGAGTCCCAGTGGAACCAGGGGTATGAAACTCCTTTGGGGCTACTGGGTGGCTCAGTGGGTTAAAGCCTCTGCCTTTGGCTCAGGTCCTGATCTCAGGGTCCTGGGATCGAGCTCCACATCAGGCTCTCTGCTCAGTGGGGAGCTTGCTTCCCTCTCTGTTTCTGCCTGCCTTTCTGCCTGCTTGTGATCTGTCAAATAAATAAATAAAATCTTAAAAACAAAAAAACAAAAAACAACTCTATCGGAGGGGCACCTGGATGGCTCAGTTATTTAAGCATCTGTCTTTGGCTCAGGTCATGATCCCAGGATCCTGGGATCGAGTCCTGTATCAGGCTCCCTGCTCAGTGGGGAGCTGGCTTCTCCCTCTCCCTCTGTCTGCCACTCTGCCTACCTGTGCCTTCTATCTCTCTAATAAATAAATGAAATCTTAAAAACAAACTAACTAACTAACTCTATCAGATATTGGGAACACTGCCTTGGGACTTATTTACCAAAGAGTACTAAGAAGAGAGCTATTTTTTTTTTTCCTTAAAAATTAACCCACACACTGTGACACTAAAAGGTTCAGTGTTTTTGTGGTTGCATCCAGGAGGGGTCAGTGTCACTTAGGGCAGAGCACAGTATATACCAAATGTGTCTGCTGGAAACACCCTTTGGAGTACGATGGTATCCCAAGTGCACCATAACCCTCAGCAGAAGTGGACTGTTTTGGGAGCAAATGTAAAGCAACCTCTGGAGACTCCCAGGAATGGCTTAGACATGGAAACTTGGGAAAGCGGAGACAAGGACCAGTGAATCCTGAATTACAATTGCCAGGACTGCAGAAGTGTTCGAAGGCTCATAAGGTTGGAGAAGAACTGGGATTCATGTACAAATGTATGTATAAAACAGCTGAAGAAGGACAGGACACCTGGGTGGCTCAGTAGCTTAAGCATCTGACTCTTAATTTTGGATCAGGTCACGATCTCAGGGTCATGGGACAAGCCTCCTGTGTGGCTTCTGTCTCATCGGAGTGTCTGCTTAAAATTCTCTGGCTCTCTTTCTGGAGAAATAAAAGAACTAAAATCTAACCAAGTTGAAATAAAAAAAGCTATTAATAAGGTGCAGTCAAAAATGGAGGCTCTTACTGCTAGGATAAATGAGGCAGAAGAAAGAATTAGTGATATAGAAGACCAAATGACAGAGAAAAAAGAAGCTGAGCAAAAGAGAAACAAACAAATACTGGACCATAAGGGGAGAATTCAAGAGATAAGTGATGACACCCTAAGATGAAACAACATTAGAATAATTGGGATTCCAGAAGAAGAAAGAAAGAGAGAGGGGAGCAGAAGGAATATTGGAGAGAATTATTGTAGAGAATTTTCCTAATATGTCAAAGGGAACAAGCATCAAAATCCAGGAAGTGCAGAGAACCCCCTAAAATCAATAAGAATAGGTCCACACCCCATCACCTAATAGTAAAATTTACAAGTCTCAGTGACAAAGAGAAAATCCTGAAAGCAGCCCGGGAAAAGAAGTCTGTAACATACAATGGTAAAAATATTAGACTGGCAGCAGACTTATCCACAGAGACCTGGCAGGCCAGAAAGAGCTGGCATGATATATTCAGAACACTAAACGAGAAAAACATGCAGCCAAGAATACTATATCCACCTAGGCTATCATTGAAAATAGAAGGAGAGATTAAAAGCTTCCAGGACAAACAAAAACTGAAAGAATTTGCAAACACCAAGCCAGCTCTACAGGAAATATTGAAAGGGGTCCTCTAAGCAAAGAGAGACCCTAAAAGTAGTAGATCAGAAAGGAACAGAGACAATATACAGTGACAGTCACCTTATAGGCAATATAATAGCACTAAACTCATATCTCTCAATAGTTACCCTGAATGTTAACAGGCTAAATACCCCAATCAAATGACAGGGGGTATCAGAATGGATAAAAAAACAAAACCCATCAATATGCTGTCTACAAGAAACTCATTTCAGACCCGAAGATACCTCCAGATTTAAAGTGAGAGGGCGGAAAACAATTTACCATGCTAATGGACATCAGAAGAAGGCTGGGGTGGCAATCCTTATATCAGATCAATTAGACTTTAAGCCAAAGACTATAATAAGAGATGAGGAAGGACACTATATGATACACAAAGGGTCTGTCCAACAAGAAGATCTAACAATTTTAATTATCTATGCCCCTAACATGGGAGCAGCCAACTATATAAACCAATTAATAACAAAATCAAAGAAATACATCAACAATAATACACTAATAGTAGGGGACTTTAACACTCCCCTCACTGAAATGGACAGATCATCCAAGCAAAAGAACAAGGACATAAAAGCCTTAAATGACACACTGGACCAGATGGGCATCACAGATATATTCAGAACATTTCATCCCAAAGCAACAGAATACACATTCTTCTCTAGTGCACATGGAACATTCTCCAGAATAGATCACATCCTTGGTCCTAAATCAGGTCTCAACTGGTATCAAAAGATTGGGATCATTCCCTGCATATTTTCAGACCACAATGCTCTGAAGCTAGAACTCAATCACAAGAGGAAATTTGGAAAGAACCCAAATACATGGCGACTAAACAGCATCCTTCTAAAGAATGAATGGGTCAACCAAGAAATAAAGGAAGAATTAAAAAATTCATGGAAACAAATGATAATGAAAACACAATGGTTCAAAATCTGTGGGACACAGCAAAGGCAGTCCTGCAAGGAAAATATATAGCGGTACGAGCCTTTCTAAAGAAACAAGAAAGTTCTCAAATATACAACCTAAACCTACACCTAAAGGAGCTAGAGGAAGAACAACAAAGAAAGCCTAAACACAGCAGAAGAGAAATCATAAAGATCAGAGAAGAAATCATGAAATAGGAAAAAAAAAAAAAAAGAAACAAAAACCACAATAGAACAAATCAATGAAACTAGGAGCTTGTTCTTTGAAAGAATTAAAAAGATTGATAAACCCCTGGACAGATGTATCAAAAAGAAAAAACAAAGGACCCAAATAAATAAAATCATTAATGAAAGAGGAGAGATCACAACCAACACTAAAGAAATACAAACAATTATAAGAACATATTATGAACAACTCTATGGCAACAAATTAGACAATCTGGAAGAAATGGATGCATTCCTAGAGACATATAAACTACCACAACTGAACCAGGAAGAAAGAGAAAACCTGAACAGACCCATAACCAGTAAGGAGATTGAAAAAGTCATCAAAAATCACCAAACAGACAAAAACCCAGGGCCAGATGGCTTCCCAGGGGAATTCTACCAAACATTTAAAGAATAAATAATACCTATTCTCCTGAAACTGTTCCAAAATATAGGAATGGAAGGAAAACTTCCAAACTCATTTTATGAGGCCAGCATCACCTTGATCCCAAAACCAGACAAGGATCCCATCAAAAAAGAGAACTACAGACCAATATCCTTGATGAACACAAATGCAAACATTCTCACCAAAATACTAGCCAATAGGATCCAACAGTACATTAAAAGGATTATTCACCACGACCAAGTGGGATTTATTCCAGGGCTGCAAGGTTGGTTCAACATCCGCAAATCAATCAAATGTGATACAACACATTAATGAAAGATCAAGAACCATATGATACTCTCCATAGATGCCGAAAAAGCATTTGACAAAGTAGAGCATCCCTTCCTGATCAAAACTCTTCAAAGTGTAGGGAGAGAGGGCACATACCTCAATATCATCAAAGCCATCTATGAAAAACCCACCGCAAATATCATTCTCAATGGAGAAAAACTGAGAGCTTTTCCGCTAAGGTCAGGAACACGGCAGGGATGTCCGTTATCACCACTGCTATTCAACATAGTACTAGAAGTCCTAGCCTCAGCAATCAGACAACAAAAAGAAATTAAAGGCATCCAAATCGGCAAAGAAGAAGTCAAACTCTCACTTTTTGCAGATGATATGATACTATATGTGGAAAACCCAAAAGGCCCCATTACAAAACTGCTAGAACTTGTACAGGAATTCAGTAAAGTGTCAGGATATAAAATCAATGCACAGAAATCAGTTGCATTTCTCTACACCAACAACAAGGCTGAAGAAAGAGAAATTAAGGAGTCAATCCCATTTACAGTTGCACCCAAAACCATAAGATACCTAGGAATAAACCTAACCAAAGAGGCAAAGAATCTATACTCAGAAAACTCTAAAGGACTCATGAAAGAAATTGAGGAAGACGCAAAGAAATGGAAAAATGTTCCATGCTCCTGGCTTGGAAGAATAAATATTGTGAAAATGTCTATGCTACCTAAAGCAATCTACACATTTAATGCAATTCCTATCAAAGTACCATCCATTTTTTTCAAAGAAATGGAACAAATAATCCTAAAATTTATATGGAACCAGAAAAGACCTCGAATAGCCAAAGGAATATTGAAAAAGAAAGCCAAAGTTGGTGGCTTCACAATTCTGGACTTCAAGCTCTATTACAAAGCTGTCATCATCAAGACAGCATGGTACTGGCACAAAAACAGACACATAGATCAATGGAACAGAACAGAGAGCCCAGAAATAGACCCTCAACTCTATGGTCAACTAATCTTCGACAAAGCAGGAAAGAATGTCCAATGGAAAAAAGACAGCCTCTTCAACAAATGGTGTTGGGAAAATTGGACAGCCACATGCAGAAAAATGAAATTGGACCATTTCCTTACACCACACATGAAAATAGACTCAAAATGGATGAAAGACCTCAATGTGAGAAAGGAATCCATCAAAATCCTTGAGGAGAACACAGGCAGCAACCTCTTCGACCTCAGCTGCAGCAACTTCTTCCTGGGCACATCGCCAAAGGCAAGGGAAGCAAGGGCAAAAATGAACTATTGGAATTTCATCAAGATCAAAAGCTTTTGCACAGCAAAGGAAACAGTTAACAAAACCAAATGACAACTGACAGAATGGGAGAAGATATTTTCAAATGACATACCAGATAAAGGGCTAGTATCCAAAATCTATAAAG